GCAGCCTGGCCTTCTTCTTTCAACACAATTTTGATCATAGGCTACCTCTTGATATGCTTGAATGTCCACTAATTCTTTTTGAAACTCATCGTTTAGTAAGGCAGAAATCTGAATTCATGGTGTTAGATCTGGAGGAACCTTTCTGTCTCTGTCAACTCAGAAGGAAAGCCCTAACACTAATTTCTGCTTGTAGGTGATCTGCGTGTGATTTGGCATCCCCTCCCTCCACCCCAATTTTTGTTTGCATATCTGTCCTTCTACTCTTCTTCTATATTTTAAGAGAAATGTATTAAAAGCATACTTACTGTAATCCCACATCATTAAGATACCAAAGGAAACTCACTCCCCAATTAAATTATAACCATAATTATAAGCCTAAAACTTTGGAAAACAATTTAATCCATAACATTCAACCTTCTGATTCCTACAAATTCATGTCTTTCTTACATACAAAATGCATTAATTCTATCCCACAATCACAAAATCTAAAATATACTCCACGTCCAAAAGTAAACCTTTGGAATCATCTAAATCAAACATGAGTGGGATTTCACATGTGGATTCCAGCCATGGGCAAAATTCCTTTTCATCAACAACTCTTTGAAAATGTGAATACAAAAGATTGATTAGCTGTTCCATCTTGGGCTACAATCACAAGATCAACAGTTCAAAACCACCGGCTCCTAGAGGAAAAGATCAGGCTTTCTACTCTTGTAGACAGTTACAGTCTTAGCAACACTCAAGGGCAGTTCTATCCTGTCCCATAGTGTCACCATGAGTCAGCATCGACTTAATGGCAGTGAGTGTGGTTTGTGTTATCCCGAAATTACAATGGTGGACATTACAGATGGGAGAAATCTGCGGCAAAGAAGGGAAAATAGTTACCAAGGAAGTCCGTAACAGAACAATGCACACTAGCTTTCTAGACTTTGGGGCCATCTGAGCAAAGGGCTTACCCTGCAGATTCCATCAATTCATGGAACTTAGTTTTGGGCGAATGCTTTCAAAGCAGCTTAGCCTTTTTCCTTCAGCACCACTAGTTTTAAATCATATGTCACCTCTTGAAATGCTTGTATGGCCACTCATTGTTTAGTAAGGTGAGGATCTGAATTCATGGAGATGAATGTAGGGGAAGTCTTTCTCAACTGAAGAAGGTTCTTAACAGCAAGTTCGGTTGGCCACATTCTCTGGTTTCAGTGTTGGGGGCCGATGGGGAGATCCCCATCATGGTGCTCAGCTCTATGTTTCAGGATAATGGATCTAATCCCTTTGGTCGATTTTCTAGCTGTTGAATTCCAAGAGGCAGATAGAAATCTTTCCTTTCATCTTATCTCTTTCCCCTTCAGTCTAAGCCGATGGGTTTGCAGCTGTGATAGTTGGTTAGATCCACCAGTCACAGTCTTACTCTCTTCTCACAACTGCCTCTTGATCCATGGACAGGTTCCCCTGGAGTCCGATGAGGTGTTCTGGAATTCCCATTCTTCTCAAGGCTATCCATAGTTTTTTAGGATCCATGCCGTCTGATGTGCTTGCACTGTAAATAAAACACAAGTAACAACTTTTCTGGTCATCTCTGCTTTTATCCTTGTGCCATCAGCAATGATGTCCCTTGTTCCACATCTTCTGCATCTGGCCTGAACATCTGGCTGCTAACTGTCAAGGTTAGCAAGATCACCGTTGCCGGGTGATCTTTAGGAAACAAATTACTGATGGATGGTTACAAGATTTCTAAGAACCCCCCAATAAATGGATTAATCAAAAATACTTGCACATGATATCAATGATATTGTCTACAGAGTTGAAATGATACTGTCCTGTAATTGAACATTCTGTTGGGTCACTTTTCTTTGCAAGGGGGATAGTTATGGGGCTCTTCTTGGCATAGATGAGCGAGTGCTCCTGTACTACTTTATTAGCTCGTTGAATCTAGTTTTCATTGAACTTTGGACTTCTTCCTTGAGTATCTCTGGTCCTTGTTCACATGCTACCTCTTGAGATGCTTGAATGCCACCGAGTCCTTTTTTGTACAGTGACTCTGAATTTGTTCTCTCTTCTTTGGTGGCTTCCTGCATCGATCAACATGTTGTCCATAGAATCTTACAATATTGCAAATTGAGGCTTGAATTTTTTCTTGAGTTCTTTTAAGCTAAGGTATGCTGAGTGAGGTTTCCTAACTCTGGGTCTCTGCATGTTTCATTATATTATCTTACTTGGTCTTCTAGAACTGCCCTTTGCAATTTTCTCTTCAGCACTTGGACTTCAACTTCTCTTCCACATGATTAAGAGCAAGACTCTGGGTATGTTCTGATACCCACTTTGATCAGTCATAGCAGATCTATTTGGGGGCTCTGAATAAGACATGCCTCTCATTCCCATATTGTATGGGTGGGGAAAGATTTGAATTGATCCAAATGCAGCTCCACATCACAATGTTAAATGTTTCTAAGCTGGGAATCATGAAAACTCCAAATGCTTGTTTATATAAAAAGTCAACCAGATATAAGTTCAGGCTTAAGGCTATGCAAGAGCTGTGTGTACATATGAAGAGCTGCATAGAAGACAGCATGCTGTCATGAGAAGGCAGAGACCAAATCTAATTTACACGTGTGCAATCACTGACTTGTTCTTTGTCTTTGAAAAATCCCCTCCTGGATTCGTTATCCTAATAAACTACAGTATCTCTCAGCTTCCATTTCTTCATCTGTGAAATGGGATTATGACAGAACATTTCCCAAAGGCTTTTTGTAAGCGCTGGACAGAACGAATGCACATAATGGCTTTAAATAACTTAAATTCTTGTATAAATGTTAATCATGTAACAAATGCTTTAATCATATTGCCAGCATGGCTTTATGGTTTTAATCATTTTAACCAATTTACTCTTCCTTAGGAAGGTTACGTGTTAGAAACTGATAAGTAAAATCAGAGCTGAACTCAGTAGCTTGGCAAATGGCGAACACAGAGAAACGGTATTATGGTTTGGTTTGGTGCAAGGAGGTCATATGTTGCTTTTTGTGCTTTCGTTGGTAGTCGTCCAACGCTGTCCCTGAAGTCAGGCTCCTTGAAAGGTTTTTCTTCTGTGTTACTGTTGTCTATAAGCTCACCTTTAGAGTGTGTGCAAGTGAGGGGGTAGGGGTCGGGGCTGGGGAGGGGAGGGACAGGAGATGGCATTTCCTCTGCTCGGAAACACCTCTGTGCCCGGAGGGGACGTGTGACGTCTGTCCGTCCCTGCTCCCTCGGTTCCCGGGTCGGCCTGGCCCGGTCCCTGCAGCGGCCCGACTCCGGCCAGGACTCGGGCAGCGACGCGCCACGGCGCAGGCTCCGCGGCCGGAGCAGGCGCGTCAGCCGAGCCCCGTGGTCG